CTCGAACCGTTTTTAAATATGAATATCAATCACTGAGAATAAAATCGATATCTCTATGGTTTATATGTATTTCTATATACAATATATACATATTGTGAATATATATTTAAATTATAGAATTATCGATGCATTGCAGCACCTTTTCTTTGTTGCATTTATTTCTTTTTCTGACCTGACCCATCAATCCTGCTCTCTCCCGTCTCATTTTCTCATTACTTGTCTGTCACTTTTGATAATTGCATGACGCGTTCTACACGCGACTTGAGAGCGATTCTTCGAATGCATTGCTTTTCCCCGGAAAACCCCCATCCCCACAGGCACACAGACTCTGTATACATACATATGGATGTATGTATGTGTGGGTGTGTGTAGGGGACTATCGATGGCTACAAGGATTCGCACTTAACCTGCTCCACTTGCAGCCCAACTTGGCATCGATTGAGATTGCAGGGAAATGCGAGAAAAGCGAGAGAAAGCCGAAGAAAAAAGCAGCTCGTCAAGTGGAAGCAATCGCTCAAGTTGGCAACCCTTTTTGGTGTGTGGTGTTTTTTTTTTTATGGGATTTTCGCCCCCTTTGTTATTGTTTTTTTGCTGCCACCTGCTGACGTCACCACTGACCCACTTGCAAGTCGAACTGAATTGGAATTCAAAGTGCCCCAGCTAACCGAAACGCCAAGGAGAAGATGCACAGCTAGAAATTTCTTAAATACATTAGCAAGTTTTAAATAAACAATTTAGGAGCTTTAATTACAATAATATAGCAGTTAAATGAAGTAGCTAGATGAAGGTCTAACAAAATATTAATTGTCATTCTATAAATCGGTTTATTGTCAGTTAAATCATATTTTTTATATTTGTTTCCTTAAGCTCTTAGGTGATTTATTAATATTTCCTTAAATTTAAGCTTAAACTCCTTCCTTAAAAAAATGAGGGAACTTATTCCCTGGCTAAGATAAAAGGAGATGCTTACCCTCTGCTCACATTTAAATCTCTTTGCCGGCTGGCAGTTCGTTTCGGGTTCCGTGGCCATTGATAAATATGCCAAATCATCGGGCACGTCCTTAGACTCCTGATCAGATCTCCAGGACACGTGCAGTAGCTCCCTCTTTCGAATGGGAAGAGAGTGCGAAAAAAATGGGACGAGGAGAAAATTAAGCAAGGACCAGGAGGTGAAGAGAACAAAAAAAAAGCCTAGGGAGTGGGATGAAAAAGTTTTTCCATTCACTTCTTCGTTTTGTTTGCCGAGTTATTCTGTCAAAATTTATTTAAATATTCTGCCGAATTTCCCGGAACACTTTCGGCCCCTTGATGAAGTTCTCAAACCACCACAAAACAAAAAAAAAAACGTTAACGTTTCGCGTTAAATAATTTCCCCAACAGTCATTAAATGCAACAAAAACACTCCTTTTCTCCAAATAAATCTCCCTCTCTCCTCCCTCTTTTCTGGCAGCGACAAATGGCAGCAAATTATGATGTTCCCTCCGAAAGAGAAAGTCCTGTCTAACCCTGTCCTGGCCCAATTCAAAAAGCCACCCAATTTCAACCCAAAAAACAACCCAATTTAAACCCTTACCCCATCAAGCGTAAACTCTTCTCTGCTTTCCCAACAATTTTCTTTCTTGCTCCTTTTTCGACAACTTTTCTTACTGCCAACAATTAATTGAAATTAACATATTTTTCTTCTTTTATTTGAGACAACTTATCAGGCCATCCCTCACGTCTCTCTCTGTCTCTTTTCCCTTTTGACCAAGTTAATTTTCAACGAGTTTTTCTACTTAAAAAAATAAATAAATTCGAATGCCGCGGATTAATTTTCAGCGTCTGTGAAGAATGAAACGGAAGTAAGCCATTCGGACCAATTAAATCCTTGCCGAAAGTTTTGTAAATTGATTTTCCACGTAATGCAAAAGCTTTGTATTTCCTGGAATATTTCTAGTTAAGCAGGTGGATAACTTTTGCATTACTCGCAGTTCCGGGAAAAAATTTAAGCCGTTTAACCAAAAGGATTCAATGCATTCCAGGGAAATGCGAAAAATTCTAAAATGTGTCTTTAATGGAAATACCAAGATTTTATGTTAAATGTTTTATATAAATATTAGTTTTACGTTAAAGGCTTAAATAATTATATGTGTCTTTCCAAAATAATATTTATCCTAACGTTTATATATTTCCGTTAACTTGTTAATGTTTTCAACTTAGTTATCAAAGTTGTTGCAAATTAAGTAAGGTATTTAATCGTTGCCACTAAATGTCATGATGAATTTCCAGTTAAGCTGAAGGGAAATTAATTTTTCAAATATTTGTATGGCCTGTAAGTGAAACGCTTTCATTTTTGTTGCACCTTTAATGGGCCAGACTAAAAAGCAGAGAGCAGCATTGGAGGTCATGAGGGAATCCGTGGAGTTCCCGGAATGAGAATGAGCCAGGGGAGATTGGGAGTGGGAGATGGCACGTTTTTGCTCACACAGACACATAATAAGGGCATTCCTCATACGCCACCGATTCCGCAGTTGCTGTGAGTCTGAGTCTTTTCTTTCAAAGCTGTGTTATATATATACCCTACCACAGAGGGTATTATAAATATGTAGAACTAATACCTATTTTTCTACATTTTCTGTAAGACTTTTTGATTAATATTAAGGATATATTCCTTACTCTAGGGTATTTCCTAATTCATCACTTGGTTTTTTAGTATTGTTACTGTTCCCCGTCGTTTGCTGGCTTTATGAAAAATTATACAAAACTTTTTACTTAGTGGCTGGCGGGCTCTGAACAATTACGAGGCCATCAGGGAAGTAGCTGGCTGGAAAATAAAGGGGGGTCAAGTCCCAAGTCAATGGGGTCCTCGGCAAATAAATAATGTGTGTTTGTGTGTTTGATTTGGCCCCTTAAACGATGCGGAAAGTTGAAGGAAAATAAAGTGTGTTCGAGGTGGAGAAAAATTGAAATTGTCCCTTGTTCGAATGGCTGGCTTATCGCCGCAATCTGTCAGTTTTCCACTAATTAACCAAAACGGCAAACAATGTTTCAAAGATTTATGTGCATTTTTCAAATGGCGGAAGTTTACGTAATTACTTATCACCAAGAAAATGCATAAATCAAAGGTTGCAATTTACAGTAGCTGTGAATTTTAGCATACATATTTAAGAAATTTAAATATTTTACTTCATGTCATGTTAATTTAAATACCTTTTAAATGGTATTCAATTTTAAAATCTTATTCTTATATTCTATATATATTTTTATATATATATTTAAAACCTATTTCAAATCCCTACAATTGTTTACAATTTGTTTATAAAACAATAAACAAAACTCTTAGCCTTGTTACTTTTTTTGATGAACTCAGCTGGAAAGTAGGCAACATTTTTGTGGGAAATGGAAAACTCAATGAAAAAATCTCAGCCCAGAAGCGGGCACTGCATAATGCATTTACATGTCGCTTGTCCCTCATTTTTTGGGTTAGGAAAGCTAAACCGGAACCGGAACCTCAACCTTTACGAAATAATTACGCACTTGGGAAATTCCCTTTCCCGGTAGGGAGTAGGGAGTGTAGAGAGGCTCCGTTCCAGGCCATCACCTTGCGCCGCACAGCCTGTTAACCGGGAGGGAACTTTTGGCATTTCTATGGAATTCAATTTCAAAGCTATATCATTTTCATTTAATTTCACGCTTTCAATTTGCGACCCACACAAACGGCGCGCTTTGTCCAGCCGCATCCCTTTTTTTTTTTTTGTATTTTTTTATTTTTTGTTGGGGCCACCGCCGCCGACCTCCTTTTTCCACGTCGAAGGTATGCCATATAATGGATTTCTGCTCTTGTTTTCTTTTGGCCACCTATTGTCTGTAAAACGAAACCCGCCGGGGAATCCCCGCCGACCCCGGTATCAAACTGTTCCCGTTGCGAACCGCATTGCTCGTCAATTTAGCACTTTCAACTGCACACACGTGCCACCCTCCCTCGTCTCCTTCTCGGTCTCAGTCTCGGCTTCGGTCTCGGTCTACGTCTCGGTGTGTGTTTTTGGAATGGATTGAAAGGAAATAGTAGAGAAAGCACAACAAAAACAACATGGAAAAACTTTACGAAAAAAAGTGGAAAATAAAAACAAAAATTAATGGTAAACGACAGCGAATATCCATGACCAGGTGAAAGGGCTAGTTTGAGACAACGAATGGAGTTTACCCTCTCAGAATAAAATATTAATAGGTACTTTATGGTAATAATAAAGCATTTTTCATATTAAATATTTCATGAACTTACCAGCTTGTATCTTTTGAATACAAGGAAATATCTTATATCAGTTTTCTTTTCGTAAAAAACCAAACAGGATAGTTTTGATAACTATACCTACTACGTATCCTTTTTCAAATCAAATCATTTTAAAAATTATGTAGTATGATAATAGAAAATGTATTTCTTCTGAATATATACAGAATTTTCCACCAAATGAAGCTAATTATCCTACCAACTTCCAATATTTACATTCTACTGAAAACTTTCAGTAGTTCTATGGTTCGTACCTTGTGATTTTCCATATTTTCTTTCGCCCCATCGAGTTGCCAGCAGTTTTTCATCAGAAATGAAAAGAAAAGTAAAAAAGTTAAGCCTTCACATACAAACATTTTTAGCGTGTAGATGCCGAGGGCAATAAAAGGATTTTTCAATTTACGAATATCCTTCGGTTTGCCGGTTTGCTTTTGTGTGAGAGTTCACTGTATGTGTGTGTGTGTTTGAGACTTTCACGAAATTGGTCAGCAAAAATGTTGTTTGGCGTGTAAATTGAGCAGTTTTTTGCTGCCCGCTTTGCCATTGTTTGTTCGTTTGATGCCGCGAAGAGAAAACTGCGGAAAATGCTTTTTAATCATTAAACTAACGTAATCAATTCTCCCATTTCTCTCTCTCTCTCTCTCTCTCTTTCCCGCTGGCCCTTTTGTAAATTGCAATTCACAGGGAGAAACTTTTGATTAATTAAAAGTAAAACAAAAGGTTGAGAGCCAAAGCCAAGAACAACAACAACAACAGCAAGTGGCATCCAACAACAACAACAAGTAATCTAACCAGGAATCGACGCTACAACGACATTCGCGGAAAGTTGTCCCATTTCTAACAATTTTCTCCTCCAGGAAACAACAATAACAAAAACCCAGAAAATACACAGAAAAAGAAACAAACAAAACAAATAACAAGGAACAAGAACTGTTGGCCAGAAAATCAACATCGAAATGGAATTGGGCATCAGAATTGTCAATCAGCATTTAGCCAGAATCAACAACAATAACAACAGGAACTACTACAACAACAGAAACCAGCACTTCAAAACCAACAAGAATAACTACAACTCCAAGAGCAACAGCATTCAAACCAACAACAATACTAATCGAATCTACAACGACGAAGACAACAACAACAATCCCAACAACAACAATCGCACAATAACAACGATATCAACAATACTACCGGCCATAACAACACCAACTACAACATCAACAAGCAGCAACAGCGAAAGTCAACCAGCATTCTACAACATTGCAGCCATATTGGTATTAGCAACTGAAAATGGAACAGCAAAGACTGTCCAGCGATCAGCTGTCGGTGGCCTCAGGTTCAACAACGGTCGCAACAACAACAGCAGCAGCTGCAACAACTACCCGCTCAAACTCAACAACAACAAGTTCTAAGTCGAACAACACCAGCCCGGCTAGAACAACATTTACCAATAATTTCAACCAACAACTGCAGGCAACAACAGCAGCCACCATGCAACGTCTACGTACAACATTTACGCGTTCGCGAACACCAACAGGTGCCGAGATGAAAATGCAGAACAGCCTGGAGGTACCCAAACAGGTAAAAAAGGTGGATCGTTAATTTTTTGATAATTCCAATGTTCCGATTGTTGTTCTTGTTCTGATTGTTCAAACGCATCATTGTTTCGTGTTGGTGTACTTAATTGTATATATATTTGTACAAATTTAAGTATAATAGTTCTATACATATTAATATTTTTGTTGTGTTGTTGGTTGGACTGTTTTCCTTTTTTTTCTAAATGAATCGTTTGTTGTTTGCATGTTTGTTTTGAATTCGATCAGTTTAATTCGTTTTGCTTTCGACTCGGTAATCCTACAGGGATTCCTATCTTGGATTCTACCTCTGCACAATCAATAAACTCGATACCTTTACACTATCCTTACTAACCCTGTTGATAAATTCGATTGAGAGCATGCTATATTGTGTTCAACATATGTTGTTTTCTCTTACGTTTCCGTTGTCTTTTTGAGTGAAAGTAGCAGCTTAGACTGGCATCCGCCCTAGTTTCCAACCATGTCTCTGACATTTTGTGACCAATCCCCTCAACCATGTTGTTACAGGTTCGATCAGCCTCGTTCGATGAGATGCAACTAGAGGCACAGCGTGCCTCCTCGAGCCTGCTCAAGCAACAATCCTCATCCTCGGCTTCGGCGGATGAGCGATCCTCGGAGGCTGGACTGCTCCAGGTGCCGTTGGCCGCACACCAGCAACGATCTCACAGCTTCGACTCGGCGGCTGTGTCCGCAGGCAGTGATGATTCCGGCACCTTTCTGGAGGTGCCGCGTCGCCTCAAGACTCGTCGCAGTTCGTCCACCAAGACGCCACCGCCCTGCATCCACTGTCACTACCTGGAGGAGTACGAGCGCCGGATGACGGCCGAGCAGCGCTACTTTATCGATCATCGTGAGCTGAGTGCCCTGAGCAACACCAGCTCGGAGGCAAGTGAGGATGAGGACAACGATGATGATGACGACGATGGTGGTGGTGATGATGATGACGAGGAGGGCAGTGCGACCACAGAGGCCACCGAGGGTGAGACCACGGAGACGGCACCCGAGGAGGTGGAGGAGGAGCCGCGCACCGAAGTGGAGTCTGAGCATGATCACGATCCGGACGATGATGCTGCCATGGAAATGGACATTCGAATTGGCAATATGAGCCTGGGCAGCAGCATCGAAGATTCACGCACCCACATTCCACGCCAGATGCGTCGCCACACCATCGGCAGCAGCGGGCACACCACCATGACCTCCGAGGATGAAGGCCTGGAAGGATCAGACAATGGATCACCGCACTTTGGCAATACCCTGCTGCCACCTCAGCCGACCACGCCTTGTGGCATCACCTTCACGCTCAGTCCAACCAATGGGGATTATCCATCGGCGCCGCCAATTCTACCCATTGAGCCACCATCACCACCAATGTCACCGTGCTCGGGGGCCAGGCTGCCGCCCACCATGATAACACCACCAACGATCTCCTCGCCCTGTGCATCGGCGGATGCGGATGATGCTGGCGCTGCCATGGGTCTGCCGGTGCGAGCCAGACGTCGATCGATCTCGCGACAAGAGGCCATATTTGTGGAGCCCACGGGCAACTCCTTGGAGAATGTATCCCACGAGGAGGTGGACAACAATAACAAGTCATCGGTGGACACTGCCGACTCCCTGGATGAGGCCTCAACCATGGCCACTTGTGGCTCACCGACGGCAGCTGGTGCCGGAGCAGCATCATCGAGCAGTCATCACAATGCTTTTGTGGTGAGAGACATCTACCTGATGGTGCCGGATTTGAAGCGAGATCGCGCTGCCTCCGTGGATTCATGCTTCTCGAAGCTCTCCTCTGGTCCCAAGGCCGAGGAGTTGCAACCAAGTGCCGATGGGTGCTTCCTAACCGTTCCAAACATCAATGCCACCCGATCCCGATCGGTGGATATAGTGCTACCAACCGATGAGCAGGCGAGATACAAGGCTTTGTCCATGACCGGATCCACAGCAACCTATGCCGATGGGTATGTATTTAAGGATATACTAATGGGGTTTCCTTATTTATACTTTAAATAATTTTCCACTTGAAAGGATTCTTTGGAGCTAATGTTTTCTTTATATATATATTTTAGCCTGGTCCTAACTCTTTCCAATCTGTGTAGCAAAAAAAAAGGGAACCAAAAGAACCCAATATTTGTAACACATTTTATTGTTTACTTTCGCCTTTGCTTGGCCTGCCTTCGACCCTGACTCGCTGGCTATTTTTGAACCGACCAAACTTTTAAATTGACTCATTAAAACAAGCTTTACACGTGGCCCCCTGTAAGGATTTTGGGATAAACCATGGGACGGTAAGGGATGTAGGATGGACAGGAGATGTACATAAGCCAGGACCCATAATTGCAACTAAACTCTGTATTTGCTATCGCTCTCTTCCTGTTTGTATCCACTTGACCTGAGTGAAAACCTCCGCCTTCTGCTGAGATTTTTTTTTGGTAGGACGAGGTCCTGGCAATCCGTGTGTGACACGTGTGCCACTCGAATTACGGAGCGACATGTGAGACCCAAAAGAGTGTTCCGTGTGCGTTTGGGGTCCTTCGTCGGTGATCCAACTCCCGCCGACTTAAGCCTAATTAGAAGCGAAAGAAGGCTTCACTCAGTCCTAGTTGCTGTTGCCTCTGGGGCCATTCATAATTCCCGCCAAGTTGGCCCAGAGCGGACACTGGCTAACCCTCGGCATGAATAAATTATGCTCAGTCTTTCTTAAAACAAAAGGAAATACTAATAAATAAAAAGAAACAAAATTTTAACACTGAAACATTCATAATACTTGAAAATAAATGGGGATCTTAAAGTGGTTTCAACTTGAAAGAAGTTATATCAATTAAAAGGCCTGATTTGTAAATTCTTCCTTTTAAATTTTAAACATTTAATTTTAAATAACATATAAAATGCATACACCAAATATCTTGCCTATTTTGAGCAGTGTTATTTGCCTAAGCAAACCAATTTCCTTGAATAACGAAAAAAGCCGCTCATAAATAATATTCAAACAAAGTGTCCCATGACCGCTGTCCATTGTCCATTCACCACTGTCCGTTGTCCGTTCTCCCGTGTCCGTTGTCCGTTATGTCCTTTATCCGCGTATCCCATTGCCCGAAATGACAAGGAGGATGTTGCGTGCCGAAAGCCGCCCCATGGACTAGGTGTGAGAGTGACGAACCACTTGTGGCCAATTTGTTACGCTGCACCACCACCACCAAGCTCCAGTCACCATCCCCCAGTTCCACTCCAAGTCGGAGGACTCTCTCCCAACTCCCAACTCCCAGCCGATATATGGATATGGATAATTCAGAACTTTCCTCTGATGGATTAGAGAGATTAGGCGTCCTCGTGTGTGCTTACCCGTGGCGAGAACTTGCCCAGAAACTCGACTCGGTTCCACGGAAAATTAATTAGCTTAGTGCAGGGTTTATCAATGGCAACCACCGAATGGAGCCATGGCCGCTGGGATATATTTATTCATTTAACGGAAAAGTTACACCCATAACTGGGGAAAAGTTGTACGAAATGAGAAAGAAAATCAAACTGAATTATAGAAATCATATAATTATTATTTGGAAATTAGGAGGCAAGGGAAAAAGCATTAAACATCTTCGTTGGAGTGTTATTTTAATGGTTTTATCATATTATATATTTGTATTATGTATTGTATATGTATATTTAATTATTTTAACTCATTCTTGAATTCCTTTTTCTACTTTCAGGTACGTACAAAATGTTTAACCCTTGACCCAGCCCCAAGCTTGCACTCAGATAAGTACTGATGTTGAAAATTCATTTTATATTTAAATATTTTTAAGCAGCCATTTCTGCTTTTTTGTCTTTATGCGGGTATGTCTTTCGTTTTTAATTTCCGATCCATGTTGTTCCAATTTATGGCCATTTATTGTGCCGAACATGCCCATTAAAGTCCCCCTCTCTCTCTCCACCTCGATATATATCCCACCATTAGTCGTTCCCCGGGGGCTATATAGTATGTATATTCCAGTTGGAGGCCGGGGGATATATTATGCTTGTGCGGGGATCCCCTCATAAAGTTGGATTTGTTGATTTACGATACCGGAGCGTGACACGTTATTATCTCTTCTGACTGAGAATTAAGTATTGACCGCACTGACAACTGGATATGTTTAATTTGCTCAGACAAACCCTTCCCACCTTCCCCCTGTTCGGTATCCTTTTTGCCCGATAAAATGGGAAATATTATAAAATCACTCAATCATGCGACGCATGCCGGACACTGCAGTCATTCATTCTGACTTTCGGATGTGGTCTACACTCCAATCTTGACTTCTTCAACTTTGTGGCTTTCATGCACACCAAAGAAATTGTGTTATTTATTTAAAATAATATAAAAATAATGTAGGAATAAGTATGTCCTTGGGTATTATAATTGTAGTCAAAAGCTTGTAATTTATATATAAATTTATCTATCTATATAAATCCTATATATTCTTGATCAGCATCAGCAGCTGAGTCTATATAGCTATATCCGGCAGAGAAATAAAATTTTTAATTAATTTTAAAATTTTTTCAAATTTAATAAGGGGTTACATCGTTAAAATTGACAAAAATTGAAAAAAATTTAAATTTTTAATTGTGTATGCAGAGTTGTTAATCTTACAAAAATTTGCAAGGAACAGCTTTCCGATTTGAAATTAATGAATTTTTTACTTATTTATGAATGATTTAAAATACCAATTTCCTGATCCAATTTCAAACTGCAAGGATGTATAAAATTCGGCTTAACGCACTAGATTCCTTTCTTGTTTTTATATATTTATTATTGAAAGGCCTTTCCAAAAATAAATAACAAATTTTCTAAACTATATCAATATCTTAAATAACACATATTTTATTATTTTTTTTTTTTCTCAAAATTATAACTTTTGATTCCTCCCAAAATTTCTCACAGTACAACAGTGTCATCCTTCCATGGGAGTCCTTTCTTTGGTTTCTTGCTGTCTGTCCCCGAGGCGTGTGCGGTTCATTCATGCGTCTTTGGGTCCTCAGACATTCCGCCGGTTTCCCTCCTACACCTCATCACCTACACCTCCCTTTCTACCATTTCCACAACAACAACAACAATCAAAAACAAACCCAACAACAATAACAATAACACGAGAGTCAGAAGCAGCGCCATCGAACAAGAAGAAACAAAAAGTTAACTTAACTTTTATGACAATGGGACAAATAATTTTATGAAAATACTCCCCCGAGGGGTACTATATATATATATATGTATATATATATAGAGAGAGATAGAGTGAGAGAGAGAGAGATAGACGGGGTTTTCTCAAACTTTTCCATACATGAAATTAGCATACAACGGTCGGGGGATACGCGATTGTGTTCCCAATTTGCCCTATTCTCTGATTTAGCAAACTGTTTTTCTTATTATTTTTTTTTTTTTGCACGGCGGGAATTCCCCGATATTTAGAGACTACATTGTGAGTGTGTGTCAGTTTGTTTTATACCGGAATATTTTTTGGGCAGGTATCAGTAAAGGTAAAGAAATAGAATTCTCGCATTTGTGCGCATATGATCCCCAACTTGTTTTAACATCCCCGGATCGAAGTGACTTCTACCGGCCAGGTCTCAGAAATGTGTTGTTACAAAAGTTGCAAGTCATTGTTTACTAGTGTTCAAAGTTAGTAACTGATCATACATACTTGCTGGTCATAGATAGTTATTGATTAAAGTAACTTACTGGTCATAGATACTTGCTGTTCGGAGTTAATTACTGGTCAAAGATACTTGCTGTTCAGCGTTAATTTCTGGTCATAGATACTTACTAATCAGGCTTATTTACTAATCGGAGTTCTATAAATCGTCCGATCGTTTTTATGGCAGCTAGTTTAATATATATATATAGTCTACCGATTCGACATGCTCCGACTTATATACTAGTAAAATTTTACAGAGCAATAACTCCATAGTTTCATTCTTAAATTTGCTCAAAAGCAAATCTCGCACATCTGTGATATAATTCCCAACTTGTTTTAACATCCCCGGATCGAAGTGACTTCTACCGGCCAGGTCTCAGAAATGTGTTGTGTTACAAAAGTTGCAAGTCATTGTTTACTAGTGTTCAAAGTTAGTAACTGATCATACATACTTGCTGGTCATAGATAGTTATTGATTAAAGTAACTTACTGGTCATAGATACTTGCTGTTCGGAGTTAATTACTGGTCAAAGATACTTGCTGTTCAGCGTTAATTTCTGGTCATAGATACTTACTAATCAGGCTTATTTACTAATCGGAGTTCTATAAATCGTCCGATCGTTTTTATGGCAGCTAGTTTAATATATATATATAGTCTACCGATTCGACATGCTCCGACTTATATACTAGTAAAATTTTACAGAACAATAACTCCATAGTTTCATTCTTAAATTTGCTCAAAAGCAAATCTCGCACATCTGTGATATGATTCCCAACTTGTTTTAACATCCCCGGAACGAAGTGACTTCTACCGGCCAGGTCTCAGATATGTGTTGTGTTACAAAAGTTGCAAGTCATTGTTTACTAGTGTTCAAAGTTAGTAACTGATCATACATACTTGCTGGTCATAGATAGTTATTGATTAAAGTAACTTACTGGTCATAGATACTTGCTGTTCGGAGTTACTTACTGGTCAAAGATACTTGCTGTTCAGCGTTAATTTCTAGTCATAGATACTTACTGATCAGGTTTACTTACTAATCGTAGTTGTATAAATCGTCCCATTGTTCCTATGACAGCTTTATATATGTATATATATAGTCCACCGAATCGGCATGCTCCGACTTATATACTAGTAAAATTTTACAGAACAATAACTCCATAGTTTCATTCTTAAATTTGCTCAAAAGCAAATCTCGCACATCTGTGATATAATTCCCAACTTGTTTTAACATCCCCGGATCGAAGTGATTTCTACCGGCCAGGTCTCAGAAATGTGTTGTGTTACAAAAGTTGCAAGTCATTGTTTACTAGTGTTCAAAGTTAGTAACTGATCATACATACTTGCTGGTCATAGATAGTTATTGATTAAAGTAACTTACTGGTCATGGATACTTGCTGTTCAGAGTTACTTACTGGTCATAGATACTTACTGTTCAGGCTTATTTACTATTCATAGTTCTATAAATCGTCCGATTGTTCCTATGGCAGCTTTATATATGTAGATCTATAGTCCACCGATTCGACATGCTCCGACCTTTATGCCAGTAAAATTATACAGAACATTAACTGCATAGTTTCATTCAAATAGATTACTCTTAAATTTGATCAAAAACAAATCTCGCACATCTGTGATATGATTCCCAACTTGTTTTAACATCCCCGGAACGAAGTGACTTCTACCGGCCAGGTCTCAGAAATGTATTGTTTCAAAAGTTGCAAGTCATTGTTTACTAGTGTTCAAAGTTAGTAACTGATCATACATACTTACTGGTTATAGATACTTACTGATTATAGTTATTTACTGGTTATAGATACTTACTGTTCAGAGTTACTTTTTTGTTACAGATACTTACTGTTCATAGTTACTTACTGTTCATAGTTACTCACTTATCTTCCACTTTTTACAACCGTTTCTCTGGCAAGTATATTGAATAATATTTCGACTAAAACTAAAAACGAAGTTCTATATTAATAATAGATACTTTTTAATCAAATTAGATGAAAATATGTTAGCTCGGCTTTTGATGCTGATCAAGAAGATATATACTTTTGATGGTCGGAGATGACTCTTTCACTGCGTTGCAAACTTCTGACTGAAATTATAATACCCTGAAAGGGTAAAAATATTTTATAATATTTTCTTAGACATTTTTCGATAGTTTCAATATTATTTAATATTTTTAGAACCTCAATGTCTCGATCTCTACTCCTTTATACTCTTCCAAAAAAAGAACAATATGTATAGAATAATACCATAAAATTCTCAGTCCAGAAAAAGTAGGATATGGATGATGATAAATTAATTGCTGCCGTCTGTCTTCAGATTCAGTGTTTTTTTTTTTTCTTGTAATATTTTTTTGTGCGTTCAGTTCCGCATTTGGCTGACGCACGCGGCATGCAACATCGGCGGCAACAACATTTACCACACATTCACAGCGGCAACAGCAGCAACATCAACAATCTTCCAGTCTACTTGAAAACTCAGCCGCAATTAAGTTTCATGAAACATTCGATTTGTATTCTCTTTCTTTCTTTTTTTCTACGTCAACGAGGGTGTGCGAGGTGTGTGTCTGTGTGTACGAGTGTACGAGTGTGTATGGGGCAGGTTGGGCGTATGGAGGCGAAATTGTAATGCAAATTGAAAGGCACAAAGCGAAAATATGCCAAGCGAAACTGAACAATCAAAGCGGGAGACAAAGCAGCAACCACAACTCGGCGACGTCAGCGGCAACGTCAGCAACAACCGCCAGCGGTGATCCAATGGGGCGGTAGAGGCAGGGGCAGAGCACGGAGCTAGAAAATGTCACCGTCGCGTTTCCCAGCAAATGGAAATTCGTATTCAAAGCAAACAGCCACTAGAGAGGAAAACAAAACTATCATACAGAGAGATCGCTCTCAGAGCTGGGCACAACATATTCAAAAAAGGCTTGGTTTGTTACAAAGTTATTCGTTAATATTAAATATATATTGAGTAAATATTTTTGAATTTTTAGATTATACATTTTAAAATGTTTTCCGGAGACTTCAATCTTTTCTAGATTGTGCAGTTTAAATAGTTCCAAGAGTTCAATGCTTTCAAAAGTATTTTTAGACTGCATCACTAATAGAAGAAAAGTTTATACCTATTAAAACATTATTTAAATTCTATAAAAATTAGCTACAACTTTTTATATATCACTAGAAATTATAATAGTAAAGTATTTTGCATTATGAGGAACGAATTGCCCACAGAACAAGAAAGAAAACTAATTTTGGGAAACAGGGGTAAAAATAGCTTATAATTAAGTCTAAAGATGCTTATTTGTTTTCTGAGACAGAATTTTAGGGAAATTCTTTAAAATTTTGTTAAAATATTGGTAAAAAAACTATGTAGAGCCTTAATTTTAGTGGCTAATTTTCCAGTCAGCTGCACACCACTGATCACAGATCGTTGCCGAGAAAAACTCACCACGCAGTCGCGATGAGTGAAAAAGCGAAAAGGCGGGCAGGCAGCAATTCGAGGTGACAAAGTGTCGCTGCTGCTGTTGTTGCTGCTGCTGCTGTTGCTGCTGCTGCTGCTGTTGTTGCTGATGCTGTTGTTGCTGCTGCTGCTGCTGCTGCCGCCTCTCTTGTTGACTTTCAGCTCGCTCGACGGCAGCCCGCCGCTCAGTTGCCTTGTGCGGTCGGATGCTGCCGCCAGCAAAAGAACCGAAAAAAACATAAAGCAAAAAACAAACTAAAAGGGGGAAAGCGGGTGGAAAATTCTACAAAACACAAGAAACAAGAATTATTTCGTTAAATTACGCGCGTGTTGCAAATTAATACAACAAAAAAAGTGTGCTGCAAAGTGTAAAGCAAAGTATGAAAGGGGAAATTCGAAATCAAAACCAAAACAAAAGCCACTCGCTCGCCCCTTCGGGTCAATTAAGCCCCAAAAATAAAAATAACTGTCAGCCAAAAATAATACAAAAAGTGTATAAATAACGAGTGTATCTTTTTTTAATTGAGCCCCAAAATGGGGAAATTGTTAAATTCCAATTAATTTAATCAATGAACTTGAATGGAAGGCAGAAGACGCCTGGGGTCAGCCAAAGTTCAATGTTAGGCGGTTAACAGAGAGCTGTTTGTGATATATATTGATACATATATACATATATGTATACCGATACAGCCGACGACAACGATAAATGTGCAAAAAAATATGGGATATATGCGACGGCATTTGGATCTCTGAGAGTTTCGCTTGGCAAGTCATCAAATTGCTCATGGACTTTGTCCCAAAATTGAGAAATTATTACAAGATACTTATGGGCGGAAAATTAACCGGATTATATTCTATATATTTTCACAATTTAAGTAGTTATTTATTTCATGTAGAGCTGGGGGAAAACTAGGAATAAATATAGAGTAAATGCAAAGGCAACGCAGAAGCAGAATCAGAACCAGGTTTGGGATCACAATTAGGCTTGGACTTAGGCAGACTTGCTGGAACACTGAAGAAAGGAGAGCGGGAATAATGAGAAATTCGAAAGGGTCATGACCACTTGATCCTTGGCCTGGCAGAAACGGCTTGTGAAGGCCGAAACCAGGGAGCCTGGTGTGTCAAAGTCATGGGGCACCATCCCATTGGCACTGCCACTCTCCAGGTAACTAAACAGCGGAAACCAGGTGTGCATCCTCTTAGAGTCACTCCCCTGACAAGCCCCATTATTAGCCAGGCTGTGGTAGCAGCAAAAGAGCCGGGAGGTTATATAGAACGCCACGAAAACATCGATGGAGTAGTGCTCGTGGGCGGCCAGGATGAGGAAGATGCCAAATAGGTTCAGCATCCAGGTGAAGGCATGCAGGACATACATACTTCGCGGTGTGTATTCCGTTATAGAGAAGTTGAGCAACGTCAGAGCCACCGTGTGACCACTGAACATGTAATCGCCGCAAGTGCTCACACCCTGAATGGACAAACCCAAACCCCGCCAGATGCGATAGGCACGATTGAGGCGGATGACCATAGCACCCACCAGGTCCACATTCGGATCGTTGATGCCAAAGTCACTCTGGTTGCACTGCAGATGCGTTCCGGGGACACTCAGCGAGGTGATCAGCGTGGTGATGCAGCGCAGCAGGAAAACGGTGCCCGCCAGTGCTGAAAAGCGACGCAGGAGCACCAGTCGGTATTTGTGAAAGATCAGCACTATTAGCCACATGGTGAAGAGCAGCGATCCGATGATCTCGGACATGGAGAAGGCCCACGGTATGTGCGGTACATTGTCCAGGAAGATGTCCGGCAGCGGTGGATAGCGTTGCATATCCGGCACTCGCTCGTGCACGATCACCATAACGAACGATGTTATCCAACTGACGAGGAAGGAGTACATCAGGCTAATGGCAGTCTTCACATATTCGTCAGGTGTCAGGCAGGATACACGGGTCACGGACTCTGTCTGGCTGTCCTTCATGAGCAACTGCAACCGTAGCACTGCCAGCCAGAACTTCTTCAACTCGCCAAAGGTTACATTGTAGCCCAGACGATGGCGCAGATCCTGGACATCGCTCTCGGTGAGAGTGAGCAGGACCTCGCCGTCGATGGCCTCCTGGCGCAGGCAGTCGAGCAGGATCTTCGAGTAGTGATCGGATTGGTTGGCCCAGCTGGTCACTTCCTCCACATTCCACTGGGCCACCTGGCTGCTGCTGCTGCTCCGCATGATCCAAGAACCTCACTAATTGCTGCACCAGTGTGGGCTCAAGCAAAAACACATTGAATTTAGGTACGTTTGGGAAAGGAAGCCCAGTGACTACTCAGATTTATATATATATTTAGTATTTGAGTAGTGTTCAGATAGGGTTTTGTGGCAGTTAGTTTATATTCATTCGATTTTTTAATAGAAAAGAGAAGTACTTATCTTAAATATCCCTATAAATATTAGCTAATCCAAACAACTAAAATACATTAGAAGCAAACTGCTTTAGACAGTTTTTTCTATTTCATAATAGATCCCATTTCTCCAGATATATAGAATAATATTCTCGGTTTTAAGGGCTGCCAAAATATAAAGCAGCAAATGCACATTTGTTGCCAAAAGATATGGTAATTGTTTCACCAACACCTTTGTCTATATCTTGGCTCTCTTCCACTTTTACTAGAATCTATATACTATAGTATCCTATAGGCTTACTATATTCGCGGCATGTGAACTTTGGGGCCAACTGCCAGCCGTGACATTTAAAGAATTTCGCACTCATTTATCAGAAAAAAAGAAAGAAAAACAAAATCAAAATAGAACAAGAAAGGAAGCTAACTTCGGCACGCCGATGTTTGCATACCCTTGCAGATTGAAATTCGATCACTAGGAATTAGTACAATATAAATTATATATATTTATGTTAAAAAACAATAATGTAATGCCTGCTTTCATTTCATTCACCGTTTTTCATTTTCCTCTATTTTTAACGATTGCTATATATGATAGTCAGATTTTCATGAAATGTAAACACCACATTTTAGATAAATATATAATGGCTATATATCAAGTTAAATGAAAATCTGTTGAAAACTGGAAAAGTTATAATATATATATTCTTGAAATTTTCCGATCGTTCCTATGGCAGCTATATATACGTATATATATAGTCCACCGATTCGCCATGCTTCGACTTATATTCTAGTAAAATTATATTGAAGAATAACTCCATAGTTTCATTCAAATAGCTTGCTCTTTAATTTGCTCAAAAACAAATCTCTGTGCATATGATTCCCAACTTGTTTTAACATCCCCGGAACGAAGTGACTTCTGCCGGCCACGTCTCAGATATGTGTTGTGTTACAAAAGTTGCAAGTCATTGTTTACTAGTGTTCAAAGTTAGTAACTGATCTTACATACTTGCTGGTCATAGATACTTACTGGTGATAGATACTTACTGTTCAAAGTTACTTATTGATCATGGTTATCTAGTGATCATAGTTACTTAATGTTCATTGATACTAACTGATCATAGTTATTTACTGGTCATAGATACTTACTGTTCATAGTTCCTTAATAAGAAAACATACTTACTGATTTTCTACATTTAAGAGCCGTTTCTCTGGCATTTATATTATATAGTATTCCGATTTTCATTACACTAAAAACGATATTCTATAATAAATAAAATAAAATACCCTGCTAGGGTATATAAACTATGGCATAAACTATATAGAAAGAGATAGAGGCTACGATTCGGGCGGCCAAAGTACGTCGCATTTCGTTTATTTGATTTGATTTATTGTCGATTTGTTGCTCTTCCCTCTCTCTACTTTTTCTCTTTGTGTTTTTTTTGTTTTATTTTATATTATTTATATATATATTTTTTCTTTGCCTTTGATTCGTCTTGTTTTGCCAGCTGCGGCCAGCCAAAAACATCACAAGACACAAATTAGGGAGAGCGGCGCCCACGAAATTGCGCATACGCCACGTGAGCCGGCTAGAAAAAATAGAATATTAAATAATAATAAAAAAAGAAAACTGAATATAGCAATATTAATAATCCATATTGGTATAATATTTATTGAAATTTCAGGGGCATACCCAAAATAAATATGCGAAATGTGCAATTCCCATTGAAGCGTATTTATGGCAAACTAATTTCCAGCCGCAATTTATGCCTGCATAAATTTACACTTTAATCAAAATCAAAATCGGTGGAAAAAAAGGGGAGGGCTACACCTGCCTTTTTCCCACACCCCCCAGTATTTATCATACTTATAAATATACATATATAAATGCTGTTTTTAAAAATAAATATCAAGTCACACACATGTTTTAGATTTGAAATGTTTGACTTGCCAGTTCTCATAATTAACTTGAGTATTTTTAGCAAAAGAAAAACCAGAGAAAAGATGAGCCAACAATGATGTCGTCGTCGTTGTCTGAAAGTATTTCAATTAAAAAATGTCTGTAAAGTTGGGTTTTGCTTCCTACATGGTAGCAGCTTCTCTTCAGACCTTTTTTATTGTTTATATAAGTTCATTCATAAATTTAACTAGTCCCAGATAATTTGTGATTGTGCCACAGATTAGGCCGTTAGCTACCTACCAGATTTAGCTGGCCATATTACGAAACGGAAGCAACGGTAGAAAAACAGCCCAGAGATACGAGCCAGATAAGAAACACGGGGTAACATGTTAGAAAGGGGTTCAAGGCACTCCCTGGCCCAAGACCGAAAAAAAAAAACAAAAAATGAAAATCCCTTGTTTGTCTCCAATTATTCATGCAGCCGATGAGTTGGCAACGCGGGATAATGTTTTTCTTTTCTCGAAAGATAAGAGAAGATTGTCTAGATATCAGGTGCTTTGGTTTGAGAGAATTACCTTATTATTATAATTATTCTTCCAACTAGGTTTATACAGGGTGCTCTAGAAACTTCTAGTTTTTATAAAATTCAATTTATTTTTTAATTTTTAATTAAGTATACAGACTTATTAACATACTAAAAACTAAGATAGAAAAGCTTTCCGACTTGAAATTAATGTTTTTTTGGCTTAGTTATTTGTTTTTTAAACTTTGATTTGTCGAAATAATTGTCATATAAAAATATTCATAAATATTGATTAAAAGAATGCGAATATTTTAAGCATCATTATTTTCGATCCGATCCTTAATTCTTTTGCAAACTGAAAGGGTATATACGCTTTGGTGTACCGAATCTAGCTTCCTTTTTGGTTTAAATTTTATTTCCGGTATTCGTAGTCCGAAAAATTACGTATACGCACTGTTATAATTATACCCTTGCAGGAACTTTAAATTTCAGGCAGAAGCCTAAAATTTACTGAAGGAGTCATTTCCGACCCTTTAAATCATATATATTCTTGATCAGCATCAACAGATGAATTGATCTAGGCATGTTTTTGGAGAAAAAAATTTGGCATTTTTCTACATTTTATGAGGGTTACGTTGCTAAATTTTTCAAAAATTGACAAAAATGTTCATTTTTGGATTGAATATGCAGGGTTATAAGTGATAAAAACTAGCCAAAAAATGGTTTCCAAATCGAAATTAATGCGTTTTTGACGGAGTTGTGAGTTTTTTAAACTTGGATTAAAAATTGTCTTATAAAAATATAGATGAATTTCGATTCAAAAAAGCTGAATATTTTAAGTTAAGCTGTGATCGTTATTGGTTTTGATCCTATAATTGCATTGCAAACTACATGGTCCCGAGTTAGCTTCCTTTCTAGATTTTTAATCAAATCCTTTTTGCTACCATTTAATATTCCCCTTTAAAAAAATCCCCCTTTTACAGTTCCACACAGATTATTTTTCATGCTGAAAACTGAAGCCGTGTTTTCACATTCTTTGCTCTAAGTTTATTTAATTGTTGGGTTGAAAACTTTTTGACACAGACCCCGAAGGCCTTGCGAAAAATTGAGACATCAGGATTCAGCAGGATCTCCGGGTATCTGTCTGAAAAGTTTACACCCAAGACATCTCGGCAAACGGTTGCCATGCAGATTGTCGTAAGGTCCTTTTTGCTTATTTTATTGAATTGTTTTTCGTCCTCGTTATCCTTTTACCTTCTGTAAACCTACTGGCTGGGCCCACCCAGAAAAACACCAACTCGTTGGAAGGCCAAACGCTTAATGCCAATTAAGAATATTAATTTCATTTGCAACCCAGCCTCGTTTAGTCCCTCCTCTGCAATCCTTGAGTGTTTTCAGGATGCAACTACCTATTTACGTACACAGAGAAAATAGATTGAATTGGTATTAGTTTATTTATGAAAATTATTACCCTGTTTGAATTATTTATGTCAAATCATAAAGAATTAATTTATAATTAAATGTTAACCTTCTTCCTAATAACTCAAATAGAAATATATATTTTCTCTCTTGTTTTTTTTAATTGTAAATAAATCTAGAGAAGTTTACAAATGTTTTCTCTCTCTGTAACTGCCGCTTGCCCACGGCTATTGTTAATATTCATTAGCTTAAAATCCTTTTCTCGAGTTGAAAGCTGTGCAGCTCGGCTCAAGTTGCCACTGCCATTGCGAGGGACTCGGAAAATGGCTAACCATTTCTCAGTTTTCGTTTTTCGATGCTTGAAAGTTGTTGCCACGTTTTCAATTCGAATGTCCGGGCATTAATCGCAATCACAAGGACGAAAACGAGAACGAGAACGAGGACTCAAACTCAAACTCAAACTCAGAGACAGACGGCCAGGACGTGCAGATAATTTTTCATTTCGGCCAGCTCAAATGGATTTCTCATTGGCTTAAATGTGCAAATGAATGGTTGATGTATATACCTCTAAGCGGGATCTATTTAAAGTGCATAGTTGTGGGCGATTATTAATGGTGGCTTCGCCGAAAGTCTGCCCGTTGAAAGGACCCCACCGAAAGGGTTTAAGTATCTCTTTTTATGAGCTTTTTCATGATGCTCTCTCTCTGTCTGTGTGTGTGCACTTTAGAGTGCTCATTTATTTATTTCTGCACTCTTAAAGGCCAAAGAGCCAAAGCGATAATATTTTTTACGATTTGTATTTTTATTATTTTTGAGTGTCATTACTTGGGATGCTTAAAATTATCTCAAGGCTCTTATTGATTTTGTCAATGAGGTGGAGGCCACCGAATCTCAATTCCATTCACATTTCCACCTCCACATCCAAGTCCAAGCCATTGACGACAGTTTGCCTTTCATTAGCCAAACATTTCCACGCTTTATCTCGCTTTTCTATGCTTTTCCTTGCTTTTCCTGGGTCTCCCTTGGTTTTCCCCCTCAAATTATCCACCTTCCACCGTCGGCGGCAAAGTCCAGACCTCTTCAAAGGCAGTCGACATCAAAATTAATCACATTTGAATTGAAATTGCGTTTCAACTTTTTGTTACGTCTTGGCCCCGCTTGGTTTTATTTGATTTCAGTTTCTGTGGTCATTCATATTTGGTAGCAAACGATTCTAATTAGGGATGATTGCCTCTTTTTTTTGGGCTCTCAATGCGGGAAATATTTTTCTTAAGCTCTAAAATAAATATATTAGGTTGCAATGGCTTTTGAAATTGATTTAAGACTAAATTTATATATACAGTTATTTAGAAAATATTTAAAATAAAACGATAGAAAATCAAACTAAAATTTTCAATATATTAGGAACGATTTTCTAACAGTTCGAAGGGAAAGCCATCACTAGTTGTCAATGAAAAAGTTAAAGGTCATTATTTTAGGTATCGTAAGATTTGCCAGCATTAAAGTTTGCATATCAATAACTCCACCAAACAATAAATGCAATTTATATACATATTTATACGTATATAAAAAGCATTTGGACTTGGAAGAAGCCTTTAAGAGATACTTCAGAGGTCAGGCAAAATGGAATGGAATTTCCAATTATTTCGCAAAGCTATTTGATGAACTATTAGCACAAAGCCAGCTCAACATTTATTTCCATTTCGAGTCGCAGGAAAGGGCCTCCATTGTGACGTATTAAAACTGCAATCGGCCAATTGATTTGCAATTCAATTTTACAATTTTGCAACTTTGAGAAGTCATCGCCCACTGGCTTCCTTCCTTCCTTCCTTGGAGATTTATCCTTCTAAGGCTTCGATTTCTTAACTCCCAGAATACTGATGCCTTCTTGACAATATTGCAATCGTTGAGTAACTTTACTTAGCTTAAAATAAGGAGGAATTTTTAGCCAAGAAAGGTTCATTTTCTTTTACGAATTTATTTCGTATTCAGGTTATTAGTATTGACATTTTAGAGACAAGAAATATAAATCCTTATTTTTTTGTTAGGTATCTAAAAAATATACTAATAAATTTGATAATAGATGAATAAAACTATATAAAATTAGTGTCTGAGAATTAAAATTCCCTTTGTTGACTACATTTTTAAGTCAAAAACACATTTTTATTTTTATACCCTTTCGGGGTATTTTAATTTTAGTCAGAAGCATGTTTTTTTTGGCGGAATTATGAGTTGTTGAAACTTGGATTTATCGCAAACATTTTTATATAAATGTATCAATAAATATCAACTCACAACCTCAATAAAAATTGCAGTGTACGCGTGGGTGTGTGTGTGCATCAGTGTGAGGTCATGTCAAACACACTTACACACACAAAAACACACACACGCACCGACACGCTACATTTAGCGGTAAATCAAGCGTGGATGCCAAAAAAAAAAGATTTTTTTGAGTAGCGCGTCAAAAACAGCGCATTAAAAGCGCTCAAAAGTCGTACAAAGTAAAAAGGAGAGGCGGCACGCAAAAAGGATACTCAGCAAAAGGACACATAGACAGAAAGAAAGAGAGAGAAATGTTATAGAAAGAGAAAGGGTTCCTGGGCAAAGTCAAAAAGTCGCCGTAAACGTTGACAATTGACATGGAAAATCTGCAATCTGTTTCAAAAAGCAAACCTGCAATTTGCCAGGCCAATAAAAGCAGCTCCTCCTGCTCCATTTCTGCCTCCCTTCAAAGGATACCTAGGGCACGTAGTAAATTGAAAATAAAAAGAGGAAAGAAAAGCAACACACGGAAAGTAAAGAAATATATACAAAAGGGGCAGAGAGTCACATTTTTTTGCTGTATGTATTTCCATCTGATAAGAACTTAATTACAATGCATATAAACAAAATGTATGCAAATGTATTAAGCCCACACGCACGGCACACTGCCACTGGGTGTGCGATGGAGCGAGATATCCGAATAATGTTCGGTCAAAGTTCTATGTAGTTCTACACGATTCTGAGGAGTTTTTTATACTCTACGAAAGGGGAAACTGTTATTATTTAGCTAAAAATATTACAAGAAAATTTGGATGCCTACGAACTCTCATTGAAATTCCAAAAACCCAAGCATATAAACATTTAAAACACAAAATTCCAATAAATCTTTAACCAACTCAGATGTGTCAAGGCCAAGCCAATTCGTTAATACCCCCAACAAAGGGTGTGTGAAAATCATTTGCAAAAACAAGCCAAAAGCAAAACCAAAACAGAATCTCCGGGCAATCTTTTGCGCCATAATGACAGCCACAGCCACGAGAACGGACAGCAGCAGAAATAGCAACAGCAACAGCAACAGAGACAGAGCCAAAGCTCGAACACGATCCGGAATCCGAATCAGAATCAGTCCCGAAATCGGACTCCAACAGCGGATCTATCCGGCCAGAGAACGCTGAATGACTAAATAACCGAAAAAAAGGAATAAATCCAGACCAAAGGGAATGTGTAATGAAGTGAAGTGAAATGTAAAACGTGAAAAATAAAGTCAAATAAAGCCAATCGAGAGTGGATGTGGAGAAATAAGTCACTGTAAAGACCATGTTCATATCTTATTTGGACTGTGATGCCAGCAACAGCAATAGCAGCAACAGCAGCAGCAGCAGCAACAAAAGCAACAGCAACAGCAATAGCTGCCGCAACAGCAACAGCAGCATCAACAGCAACCACACCGACAGCAACTTAAATGACATTAGCAATATTTGCAACAAATGCAGCAATAATAAATGCAATAGCGACAATATTTGCCATAAAAATTGCAACAATATTAACTGGAGTAGAGGCAGCAATAGCAATAGCAATAGCAACAATATCAACTGCAGCAGTCAATGTTTCTGCAGCAAAGTCGGGAACTGTACGTGCAGCAAAAGCATTAGCAACAATATCGCCTCTAGTCAGGACCACAGTGGCAACTGCCATTGCAATTTATGCAACAAAGTTAACTGCAACAGCAGCAACAAGCTGGCAGCGATATTTGGTATGGAGCGATTGCTGCACGCTGTACGCGAGGAGTTTCAAACGGAGGACGAGTTGGAGGATGAGGGCCAAACGTCGCACAGGACTAGAATCAGCAGCACATGCAGCACCAGCAGCAGCAGCAGCAGCAGCAGCAGCAGCAGTAGCAGCAGCGATAACAGTAACAGTAGCACCAGCAGCAGCAGCAGCGGTGATGGCAGCAACTCATCCGCAACACAATTGCTACCGATGACAACGCGTCGTCGTTTGCAGCGTGGCGATAGTTTTTCATCGGTTAGCGGTTCACCCATTACCGGACCCATTACCGCCTGGTCGGAGACGGGTGGCGCTTCGGGAACGGTGGGGGGAGCGGGTTCGATGGGCGTTCGACGCTTCCGGCGCTCATCCATTGGAATGCAACGGAAGTCGGCCTTCCGGCAGCGGAAGCTCGACTCCCTGGGTGCGTGGCGCCGGAAGAGGTGAGTTTCTCAACTAGCAAACAGGAATATACATCAATATCATATAAATATATATCATATACACATGTATATATATAAATTTATATATAAAATTTATGTTTAAACTTCGAAACAAACAATCGATAATCGAATGCCTGGGCAACACAATGTTGTCACAGGAAAAGTTTTGTCTCTGGACATATAGTATGCTGTGTTTTATTAATTTATATTCTCTGTATTCTTTAAATATTTTTCCACTGTAAATTAATTTGGCTTGATTTCAATTATGTCAGGATCATATCGAAATTCTTCAAAAAAGAAAGTAGTTGAATTTATAACATATTCATTACTTATCGAGTGCAAAATCCTTTTGAAACCGTATTCGAAATTGTTTTTGTCACCTTTTCTAACCGTTGTCTGTCTCTCTCTTTATCTATTTATTTGTATCCTGTTCTTTTTCACTTTAAGCAGGCGTACCGCTTCGGCTAGCAATTCCCGGAGACCGATACGGATCGTGCCCGATTGGACGGAGAACGCAGTGCAGGGCGAGCACTACTGGAAGCCCACTTCCGCATCCGGAGATCTTTGCTGTTTGAACGAGGAGTGCATTGTGAGTACTAATCGATAAATATCAAAACCAAACAAAGCAATTTGAATACCGAACTTTGACATCTTTATCAATAACCAGTTGATATTCATAAAATCTTCAAAGCAGCCTGCTTTATAAATTAGTTAAATTACTATATTTCCAAGTTATGAATTAATTTTTCGGTATATCCTATGTACTATGCTCCTATAATAATAACCCTAATACCCTGCACCCTGCCCTGGTGTCTACTTTCCGTTCTCACTCTGACATTCCTGCAATTCAATTAACACAACTGAAAATGAGAAGTGAAAGGCAGGTTACATGTGAGCGTTATTTATTTATTGCGTGCTCTTTCAACATTCACGCAATAAACGCAGGATAAACCGGGGAAGGCATGGAGTGTCCTTGGAGGGGAGTGGGTCGGGAGAACCAAGAACGATGGGCGTGTCATCAGTTTTGGGCAGGCAAAGAAGCCAAGAGTAACAAAAAAAGTACTTTATCAGTCTCATTGTCAGCTAAAGTGGGGGAAACTTACACGAGGAGAAACTTGCTTTTTTCATATATATATATTTGAAATCCTGTCTTATCTTCATCGGTTTGAGGGGGAAAGGTAGGAGAACTAATCTGAACATTGCCAGGACACATATTTGCAGCATGAATAGGACCCAGGATTATTCTTTAGTAAATTTATGAAAATTTAAAGTTTCATGTAGAGTTTTATTGAAGATTTTTTAAAAGATGTATTAAAGAACCATGAAGGACTTATTAAGAGTTTTTTAAGGATCTAAGGCTATTATATTAAATTAATTAAAATTGAGAAATATAAGCAAAATCCTTTCTATTAGCTATATAAACTTAAAATGTATTTACGATTGCCAGGAAGTGATTTTTTAAAAGATGTATTAAAGAACCATGAAGGACTTATTAAGAGTTTTTTAAGGATCTAAGGCTATTATATTAAATGAATTAAAATTGAGAAATATAAGCAAAATCCTTTCTATTAGCTATATAAACTTAAAATGTATTTACGATTGCCAGGAAGTGAAATACATAAATAATCCCAAGCTAGATCCTTGGCAAGAACTTACCTTAATTTGAATCCCGCAGTAAAGTAGCCATATCAGGTGGAATGGTAAGGTAAACTTTACCAGGAAACAATTACACAAAAACAGTTTCCGAAACTAGCACAATAAACGCACAAGCCGAGGGTTTTTCTTGACATTCCAAGGAAAAACATCTCAGCAACCTAAGGCATTTTCCTCGACGGCAATCCGTTTTCACCTGTCAAGCCACAGCAGCAGCAGCCAGCTCACCTTACCCTCACCTCACCTCAACTCACCGCTTTGACAATTAATTTGAAAGTTTGTTTTGCGGAATGCAAACGGCAATTGCAGGTTCGTCATTTGATTGCGGTTTCTGTCGAGATGTACGTCTTGGAATTCGCTAATTAGTTCAGAGTAAGGGTTTAGGAATTACCCGGATTAAGACATGATACTTATTATTAATAATAATAAGATATTATATATACACCTTTTGTTGTTGTACTGTAACCTCAGGCAAAACTTTCGAATTGCATTCCTTTTGTGCCATTGTAGAAGAGCGGCCAGCGGATGAAGTGCTCCGCCTGCCAGTTGATTGCGCACCAGAACTGCATTCCGTTCGTGAACGAGAAGAGTCAGCTCGCCTGTAAGCCCACCTACCGGGATGTGGGTATCCGTCAGTACCGGGAGCAGACCACCACCCACCATCATTGGGTCCACCGCAAGCTGGAGAAGGGCAAGTGCAAGCAATGCGGAAAGGTAGGTTTACTTCAAGCACCTTCAAGCACTTCAACCTGAGTTTGGGTTTTTATTTTCCGTATTCATTTTTAATGCTTTTTCGGTTTTGCTCCACAACACACGTTTTTCCGTTGATAAAGCGATATATATAATATTCAATGAGTTTTTATTTGTTGGCGCTGAAGGCCTCTTAACGATTCAGTGGGTAAAACCACAAATTTCCATACCAATTTAAGGGAACTTTAATGTAAATCCTAAAGTATTTTTTTTTTTTTGTGGCATAAGCTCATGGTTTTTTGATTAATTTTTTATGTTTTCATTTAATTTGTAATTAAAAATATATTTTACAGCAAGGTTTCTTAGGCAGAGAACACAAATGACAACAATAAACAGATTTAAAAATACAAATTAAATAATTACATTTTAGTTTCTATTAGTAACTTTACTTATTTCTATTAAAGATTTATATATATTTTATAATATGTAATTTAACATTCAAGCATTATGCAATAGTGGAAATGTATATTTCGTGAATAAAACAAAAATCCAGACTCCTTCAGTACTAATTTTCCGTATGGTCTATACTGATCCCTATCTCTCCCGTAAAGCAGGCGGTGCAGAGTAAGCTCTTCGGGTCGAAGGAGATTGTGGCATTGTCCTGTGCCTGGTGCCACGAGATCTACCACAACAAGGAGTCCTGCTTCAACCAGGCCAAAATCGGCGAGGAGTGTCGTCTGGGTGAGTCCAACATACATTTTATCCTTAGCTCCTACTGGGATATACCCACATACATATATCTAGGGCAGGCCTGCGCTCCCTTCCTCTCGTTATGTCCTTTGTCCTTTGATTAATTACGTGACGCGCATGCAAATAAATTGCGGTCCGTTAACTTAATTAAGATTTGTGAATTAAACGCGAGCCCGAAAAAAGAGCAACTCCAGCAGAATGGGCCATTTCAACCTCTTGAACTGGCTCGTTTTGATGGGTAAACAAATTGTAGCACAGTTATCTGGGCCACGATGAATTTTCGGTCTAAGAAGGTGAAGGAGTCATTTCCGACCCTATAAATCATATATATTCTTGATCAGCGTCATCAGACGAATCGATCTAGGCATGTCCGGGAGAAAATAAATTATTTTCCAATTTTTTCAAAATTTTACATCGTCAAAATTAAAAAAAAATGCCAAAAATTTTACATTTCGAAATAAGTATGCAGATTTATTAACCTGTTTAAAACTAACATTGACCAGCTTTCCAAATTAAAATTAATGAATTTTGACTTAGTTATGAGTTTTTTAAATTTGCTTTTCCCCCCAAATTTATATTGTTAAATATCAAGGCATACGATTGGTTTTCTGATCCTGCAAGGGTATATAAGGGCTTTTGATAATTTAAATATTACTATTTTATATATGTATGTATGTAAATGTATATAATAAGTATACAAATAAGAGCCATATTTTTGTCAATAAACACGACTTTTCCCCTCCACAGCTTCAACAAATGCATCCATACATAATCATCCCCGCATCTCTTTATCCGCCAAACCCATTGTTTATTCTGATGAATTCCTCTGGAGGTGAAAAATCCACAGAATTCAGCTGGTCAAGTGCTTGGCAATAAGCAGCTTAGCCATATGGGAAGGGGAATGTGAAGTAGGAAACAAATGTCAATGCCAAGGACATCCCAAAGGATGGCTTTGCGCCATCTGTTTGGACTTGTCATCTTTATCATCTCGATGAATTGAAGCTGCTCAGCTGCAATCTGTGGGCTGTGGCAGGCGCAATGTAAACTATTTTCAATTAAAGTAATTGCAGTAAAATGCTAACTGACAGTCACAGGCACCTAGTTGCGGTTGTCCTGTTGACTGTCCTGGCATTCCAGGCAACGAGGAATATTGCAACAAAGTCCCCATGATGATGATGATGATGATGGTGACGATGGTGACTTAACCGCTTCCTGTTCACGTTTTTATAAAGCGTCTCAATGAGCATCTTGTTAACACACTCTCTCTCTCCAGGGAAAACCGTTATGCACGCTCCTTCAGCTGTTGCTGTCATCCTGGCAGCCTGCCTCATCCCGGCATCCCGGTATCCCTGTTTCTCCTGGCATCCCATCGGGGCAAGCAATGGGCGACGGAAGGGACAAGGACATGACCGGAGATGAAGACAAGACAGCACGAAATAGAATTACACGAGTGGGTGTCATGTGGGTGGCAGCGGTGACTTGGATCGTATCCTTTGTCCTCCTTTGAGCATCAGCAGCTCCTTTGGCCAAGTTGTGGCATTCATAATTGCTCTTTGGTATGCCGGTTATGCCAGCTGCCGTTTCCCCTCCCCCCCACAATTTTCCATGCCTTTTTATACCCCTTCATTCCCCTCCATTTAACCCAAACACACTTAAAGCTACCCTTAAAGGTGGCAAATTGAATTTAGTTGCTTGGCAATTCTTGAGAACATGCCACTCCCCTTCCCACACACACATACACATCCCACTGACACTCACACTCACACTCACACTCACAATTAGCTCTCCGGAAAGGACATTGCGTTGTTCAAACATTGTGACACACTGGAAGAAACTATAAATATATGCTGGAAATAACAAGGAAAAAATATATTTTGGCTTATGTTTATTTCAAATTTTTAAAAGAGTGGGAAATTTGTTGTTTTTAAATATAATTGTTATAATATTTCTCTAAATCGTTGAAAAATTCCAAAAATGTTAGGATCGGTTATAAAATAGTCCAATACAAAGTAAATATAATAAGTTTTTTAAATGCGCTTGTTTTTGCCTACAATAGCTACAACAATAAAGAACTATTTTACAACTGTAACAAACAAAGATGTATTGATTTCACTTCCAAATTCGAATTGAAATATAAATAGGCTGTCAATTAAGCTTTTGTACAACAACAACAACATTAATTTACAATTTACTGCAAGAAAGACAATAAATATAATAATTAAACTGCCAAATTTAGTATTAAATTTAAATAGATTTGTTTTTGCCTATAAAAACAACAACAACTCTTTTACAACAACCTCCCCTTAACAACAACAACAAAAAATTACAATTTACAACAGCAAAAGACAATAAATATATTAATTTAACTGCCTAATTTAAATGCGAATTCAAACATACCATCAGTACCCGCCATAACAGTTAACCGACAGATTTGAATTTGAATTTAAATAGTCGATCAGTTGCCGCCACTTAAATAAATCGATAAGTATCGATGACATACCAGCTGTTCTCTAGCTAGGTTTGAAACTCAGCTGCAAAATAGGTCAATGGAGAACAACAATGGACCTCTTGCACTAAAATTAATCTGCCTTCTGCGAATTGTTGTTCTTGTTGTTGTTGTTGTTTTTGTTGTTGTTGTTGTTGTTGTTGTTGTTGTTGTTGTTGTTGTTGTTGTTGTTGTTGTTGTTGTTGTTGTTGTTGTTGTTGTTGTTGTTGTTGTTGTTGTTGTTGTTGTTGTTGTTGTTGTTGTTGTTGTTGTAATGGATGTTGTTGTTGTTGTTGTAATGGATGTCTTTGTTGTTGTTGTTGTAGGCAAAGCCAAGATTTCTGTCTAGTCATTTTCAGTATAAAATCGTTAATTTTTGAACCTGGAGTACCAGGCGAACAGAAAGCAGCAGAAGGTGGATTTAATTTAGTGCAGTGACGTCACGAAGTCTGTGACGTCACAGCACCAAACAGCACATCCACCTACTGCTGCTTTCTGTTCGCCTGGTACTTCAGGTACGCCTGGTACTTCAGGTCAACTGACCGGCAGCTTGTGACGTCACAGCACATCTGAACTGACGCCGAAAAGCATGCTACAACTAAGCACGGTCGCAATATTCAGTGCATCATAAAAGTAGGCAATGAAAAAATGAAAGTGTGACTCAGACAATTGGGCATAAAATGTTGCATCTTTTAGGCTGAAATATGTAGCATACTTTTTTGGGTTTTTCGAAATATACATAAAATTAAAGAATGAAAGTGTGGCTCAGACATTTGGGCGTAAAATGTTGCATCTTTTAGGCTGAAAAACGTAGCACACTTTTTTGGGTTTTTTAAAAATATGCATAAAATTAAAGAAACGATGGTTTTTAACGATTTTAAATGGGTTTTTATATATTTACAGTCGAAATTTTTAAATTATACATTTACACTAATGCTAATTCTCTCCCTCTTGTTATCCCTGACAGGCAACTATGCGCCCATCATTGTTCCGCCATCGTGGATTGTAAAGCTGCCGAACAAGGGCAACTTCAAGTCCTCGATTCGTGTGAGCAACAAGAACAATGTCGCCTCGGGTTCAGCTGGTGGTGGCGGTGGGTCAGGTGGATCCAGTGCTGGCAGCGGCGGCGGACAGGGTGGTGGGCACAAGAGCAAGAAGCATACACAGCGCCGCCACAAGGCCAAAGACGAGAAGAAGGAGCCGCGGGCATTCATTGTGAAGCCAATACCATCGCCGGAGGTAATTCCGGTCATTGTGTTTATTAATCCCAAATCCGGTGGCAATCAGGGTGTCAAGCTCCTGGGAAAGTTCCAGCATCTGCTCAATCCGCGCCAGGTGTTCGACCTCACTCAGGGTGGGCCTAAAATGGGGTGAGTATAAAAAATACATATTATTATTAGTAAATAAATAAATAAAAATATATAAATAATAAATATAATAAATAAATATATATTATTTTTAGCCTGGACATGTTCCGTAAGGCGCCCAACCTGCGTGTCTTAGCCTGCGGCGGCGACGGTACCGTCGGCTGGGTTCTGTCCGTCCTGGATCAGATCCAGCCGCCCTTGCAACCGGTCCCAGCTGTTGGTGTTCTGCCCCTGGGCACTGGAAATGATCTCGCTCGCGCTCTTGGATGGGGCGGGGTAAGTAATCGATTGTCCCCCTGACTAATAAACACCTTCTACCCTTTACCACACTAAGTAGTCCCAGAGCTTTCATTATTCTTATTCTTATTATTAATATTATTATTATTAATATTATTTTATTGAATTGTGTATGTATTAAAATAAGTCTGCTACAAGTTTGAGATGAAAATAACACTCATACGACACGTCACGCCAGATTTCAAGCTAATGAAATGCATTAAATCATTTAAGCAGCTACCAAAAAAAGTAATTTATATAAGGTGTAAGTTTGCTTTAAACAACTTTCAACAATCATGGAATTTAATACATATTTATTTTAATTTACATTAACAACAGTCCCATTTATTTTATAACATAAGCTTATTATAAAAATCTGCTTTGAAATCTTTACATAACCCATTCGAACCTAAGCTAAATAATTAATTAACATTTATATAATTAATAAAACATCTCTCAGAAATAACCTCTGGCAACACTGCGTATGGGTGATTTAGGGAATAAATAATGTATTTAAGTATCTAACACACATTGTCTCACGTATAATTGAGTTACCATTGTGGCAGTAAATTAGATCTCATTTGTTTCCGCATTTTTGCACCCGAAAATGACAACAGTGCTTCCAACTCCAACTTCAGGGCTATACGGATGAACCGATTGGTAAGATACTGCGCGAGATTGGCATGTCGCAGTGCGTCCTAATGGATCGCTGGCGCGTCAAGGTGACGCCCAACGATGACGTCACCGATGATCATGTCGACAGGAGCAAAGCGAATGTGCCCCTGAATGTGATCAACAATTATTTCTCCTTTGGTGTGGATGCCCACATCGCCCTCGAATTTCACGAGGCACGCGAAGCGCATCCGGAGCGTTTCAATTCGCGGCTAAGGAACAAGATGTACTACGGCCAGATGGGCGGCAAGGATCTAATCCTGCGCCAGTATCGCAATCTATCCCAGTGGGTAACGCTGGAGTGCGATGGCCAGGATTTCACCGGCAAGCTGCGGGATGCTGGCTGCCATGCGGTGCTCTTCCTGAACATTCCCAGGTGGGTAGCCAGGCCTTTCCTCTCAATTTACCTTCTCTAATTTAATTGTTAATTAAGAATTTGCTAAATGGCTATAAATTGATGAATTTCAGTTCTGAAGTCAAGATTATAAATTAATTTATATTATTCTACAGCTATGGCGGCGGCACTCATCCTTGGAACGACTCCTTTGGCTCCGCTAAGCCCTCGATCGACGACGGTCTAATGGAGGTGGTGGGTCTGACCACCTACCAGCTGCCCATGCTGCAGGCGGGCATGCATGGTACCTGCATCTGCCAGTGCCGAAAGGCGAGGATCATTACCAGGCGCACCATACCCATGCAGGTGGATGGCGAGGCCTGCCGGGTGAAGCCCTCAATTATTGAGATTGAGCTGCTAAACAAGGCCCTGATGCTGTCCAAGCGGAAGCATGGACGCGGCGATGTTCAGTGCGTAATCATAAATCCTTTTTTAAAAATTTTAACTATATATAAGATATATATTCTTTCACCGTAGGGTGAATCCCTTGGAAAAGATGCAGCTGCACATCCTGCGTGTGACCATGCAGCAATATGAGCAATATCACTACGACAAGGAGATGCTACGCAAGTTGGCCAACAAGCTGGGCCAGATCGAGATCGAATCGCAGTGCGATCTGGAGCATGTGCGCAACATGCTCAACTCCAAGTTTGAGGAGTCCATCTCATATCCCAAGGTCTCGCAGGACTGGTGCTTCATCGACTGTAAGTCCTGCTAGATCCTTTCCTACTGCATTATATCCTAATATACACTTTCTACGTATTTTTCAGCCTGCACTGCGGAGCATTATTTCCGCATCGATCGCGCCCAAGAACACTTGCACTACATCTGTGACATTGCCATCGATGAGCTGTATATTCTGGATCACGAGGCGGCCACCATGCCACAGACACCGGACCAGGAGCGTTCCTTTGCGGCCTTCTCGCAGCGGCAGGCGCAGAACGAGCGACGCCAGCTGGATCAGGCCCAGGGCCGCGGCCCCGGCAGCACCGGTAGGCTCTCCTCCCGCCTCTTGGCTGGCTGCTGGCCGCTACGAACGGGCTTAAATGGGGATGGGGGTGGCGGTAATGGTGGCGGAGCGAATGAGCTGCCGCTGCAGGAGCGGCTCGAGCTCTACCAGCAGCATGTGGCCGAGCAGCTGCCGTATTTGGACAGGCGCATGTTTCTGCACCTCCACTTCCGCAAGCGGCGCATCGAGATCTAATCTTTCCCTTCTCCTCCTGAATCCCACTACCCTTTCCTTAATCCTCACAAAATCCTAGAGGGAGCAAAAGCGGAGTGGAGGCTGCCAGTTGTCCTGTCCACTCACATCCTTCGTTTCGTTGCATTGCCTTATGTTTAATGTTGATAATTGCATGTCTACACCCCCCAAACATCGACACTCAGAGTAACTAGGTTGCGGTCGAAATATCTATATATATAAATATATATATATATACGCTATATGGAATTCTTTTAGAAATATTTCACAACCAATCTGGATCAAATCAGTCTTATTTGAAGACTTCTTAAATTGAAGCTCATGCGTGCCTAGAAAAATCCACAAAATAGATAAGGATAACCCATTTCTTTGTAAAAGAAGGAAATTCAAGTCTCTCTCAGAAAGCAGCTTCCAAACGAGCTAAAATTGCGACACCTAAGGGTTCCTTTAGTTTCCTCTTCTACCTAGCCTTTTTTTAGGCTTTCTATAATAAGGGAATCTCCTGACCAACCCTATGAAATGTAATTAAAGCATACACTAAAAAAATATACATAGGAACATCATTTTCCTATTGTAAACTTCTATTCTTGTTTGAAATATCATTTTACTGTGATATATATACATTATTTCGATCGCAAACCGAATGCATAAACACTCAAATGCACACTACACCATCCACATACTCACATATGCTATATAAGAATCGATAATCCTAATTGTGAGGAGCCGAATACAGCTTAGTCCTTGCCACGATCGCATGTAAGTAGAGCATTAAATACGATTACCTTCGAGCACTTAATGGTATATAATCCCGGCTTACATCAACAGTTAACCGTAGCAAGGACCAAACCGTATTCGTTACGATCCCATCTTAATACAAAAAAACCAACCCAAAATCGATAACCGATAACAGAAACACACCCAAAATGCCCCGGAAACGGGTAGGTTTTGATGCCTTGCAATTGTGCTCTCTGGTAGCTAGTATTTAGTTAGTTAATTGAATTCCTTAACAATAGTTATAGTTAACTTTAGTTGTAATTGTTTGATTTTGATGGCTTACTAACAATTTGTAACTCTCTTTTCGAATTTACACTCACACAATACACGATACATAAATATATATAAATATATTTACTTGAAAAACACTATAATTCCAAACCCCAAAGATGAGGATTTGCAAATTGGCTCCAAGCCCATTAAAGTGATGAAGTGGAAGAGGTAAAAAGCGTCCCCAGTCCCGATTCGTAAAGCATTTCATTCCAATCAAGATCCATACGAAGAAAAGAGACGACCAGCGCTGAACTGAGCGAGATGGCACTAGTGGTCAGTCGCAACTAAATTTCAAATTCAAAATCTATCCCTCTCTCACTCTCTCGTTAATTGGATCCCTTTGGCGACAGCTGTCTTGCTCATTTGGCTCCATTGGCTCCATTGGCTCCATCTTGCTAGCTAGCTCTCTCTCTCTCTCTCTCTTTCATTCTCCGTCTCTCTCTTTCACACGCTTTTTCATGGTCCACAGAATATTCGCCATCTTTCTCACACACAAAATCTCCCTGTCGCTATCTCTCTCTCTCTTTCTCTCTGTCTCTCCTTCCCTGAGCATCTATCCGTCTCTATCTTGATTTAATTCGATTTCATTTACATTTGAGTTGTTGTTATTCAATTGATTGATTTATTTCCCTATTTTCTGTATAAAATAATGAATTCTTGCATGCAGCAACAAAGATCGTTTGTTCAGTTTCAACGAAGATGTTTTTGGTTATGGATTCAGGTATTCCGTATAACTAGCTGTTTCTTTCTTTCCTTATAACTCAATCTGTCTGTTGTGGCTATTCTTTCTCTCTTTCTTTCTCTATCTGTCTGTCTTTATCTATTCCTTTTGTCTGTCTTACTCTCGTATCATCAACATTTGAATCGAAACCGAATGAAATGAATGAAAAACCCAACCGAACTGATGCTTGAATTTCTCTTTTTATTTTCTCTCTTTCATGCACACACAACCCACACACCACACACACACACATACACACACGTGCTCTCTCTCTCTTTAATACACACACAAATACATTTGAATAATAGCCCTATACTGGAGCAAACTTCCGATGCCGTACTACTAGCAGCCCAGAGCGGCGACCTCAATATGGTAGCATAACTATTATAATATATATTTAATCTAACCGTATGCCCAACTATATATATTAATATATAGATATATATATAATAGAGCAGCTTAGCTGTAGTCCTCGTTCAGTCTGGCTATAGTCAGGACTCCCACTAATCCTTGTTCCTTACGCTTTCTTGCAGTTACGTGCACTACATGAACAAGGATACTCACTGCAGTCAGTGAACAAGAACGGACAGACCGCCTTGCACTTTGCCTGCAAATACAACCATAAGGACATTGTCAAATACATCATCTCGTGCGCCACGCGACGTGTCATCAACATGGCCGACAAGGAGCTGTAAGTACAGTTAACATCACTAATTATCCTTGCCTAGAAATATCAGTATCAGGTCGTACCAGAACGTACAGGGTGTTCCTGTATCCTTTTTGTTGTCTACCTTGCCTGGTTTATAATTCCCAAGTCAGAGTTTGCAAGAAACTGAAGAAAAATATTTCTAAGAGATCATTCACACTTGCCGTTTAAATTTCTTGTACAAATTCTACAACAAATGTAAAAAATGTGGAATAAAATCCAATAAATAGCTGTTACAGTTGAACAAAGAATGCAATATTCAAGTGACTTACTTTATTGAAATAGAAAAGAAAGCTTTTCTGTTAAAAGAAAGTAATGAATTTTTAGCTTAGTTATAAACGATTTTGAAATTGATCTCCCTATCCAGGTTTAAGCCCCAAAGGTATACAAGCTTCCTTTCTTATTCACATTGGGTTCTGGATTATTATTTAATTATTATTATCCACCTCTATTTCTTGCAGTGGACAGACCGCACTTCACATTGCCGCCGAGCAGAATCGCCGTGATATCTGCGTAATGCTGGTGGCCGCCGGTGCCAACCTGCAGGCCCGTGACTCCGGTGGCAACACGGCCATGATGGTGGCCTTCAATAAGAATGCTAACGAGATAGCGACGTATTTGGAAAGTAAGCAGGGAACGCAACCCGTGGACGGTTGCTGGGCCCTAAACGACTCGAATACATCGCCGCCGGCCCCCTCCATGTAGAGTGATTGCTAGAAACAACCATCCCCAACCAGCATCCATGGACAGACATAATGATTATATATCAGTTAGATCAGTTAATCGGCCAAGAGAGCGTAATTTTAATATTTGCAAATTTCTCCTTTCTATGCCAACGAAAAACACCTGGACTTCTCTTGTAAATAATGCAACTAAAACTGAAACAAAAACTAAACCTTAAAAACACAAATCAAAACTAAACTGAACGATCGAAATGAAATCAAATCAACATTCCATTAAACGTCCTGCGATTCCCGCTTAGGTCAAGAGCGTTTTATGCATCTGGAGGTGCAGACCAGGATCTAAGAGGATCTAGGAGCAGGCGAAGCATTCACCCTACGACATAATTAATAATTAATTAATAATAATGATAATCTTTTTTTTTTTGCAACTCTGTTTTTTTTTTTTTTAGTTAATATATAATTAAGCAAAGAAAATACACAACACTCGGACAACACACATTTTAGCCAGTAAGCGCGTAAGAGAGAAGGTAATTTATTGTAAAGCAAAGCTAGCAAGACGAAAGGCAATTGTTTTAATTTCTAATTAAAATTGAGTGTAAATTCGAAATTCGAAATTGATTTGTTTCACTTAACGATTGATTAACGATTAATGATTATATTGTGATATCTAAATTAATTAATTAATATGTATTAAAAAGCGAAAGAGAGAGGGAGCGAAAAAGCGAAGCGATATTACTGAATAATCGAAATAAAATACAGAGACACACACTTCACATACAGCTATATATATATATATATATAATATTTAAATATATATTTAATGTACTTCTTTTGGAATTCTAGGCTAAGTGAGAACTTGAATACTCTGATCGAGAACGAATAAGACAGAGAGCAGCAAAAGCAGCAGCACGATTAGAAAGAGATAGTTAGAGAGACAAATAGAGAAAGAGAGAGAGATGGAGAGAGCGTTTTGCCGAGCTCAATAGCTGTCTCGCTCAGACAAACAGACACACACACAGTCCCGATGCACACAGACTAGAATGCACAACCCCCGTTAGAGCTGTACCTATCCAACGGCACACACTCGTATTTAGGATATATATATATATATTCGTGATGTATATATATCCCATATATCTCAGATCCAAACCCTCAGCGTTTCAATCCGAAAGACTTGGGTGAATCCCCCTCCTAGGTTACTTACCCGCCTCTAAAAGGGGAGACGGCTAGCAGCTAGAGCGGGCAAGGACCAACAAAGACTATATATCTACATTACTTTACCCCATACTCTCTATATGTATAAACTCTACAATTCGGTGATTCTCCAAAAGCTATATTCCCAGCACACAAACAATGTTTAATATATGTACCATAACACTCTTAAAATATAGATACACAAACACATACAACATTCACACTCTAATTTTATCGAATCGAAAACAAAAAGTTATTACGATATAATACGAATATCCAGAATAGCCGTTAGTCTAATCATAAAACCTTCTTTTGCTTAGATTTCCAAAAATTCCGCATAATATAATAGTCGTGTTTAGTCGAGTCAATTACGTTTACCGCAAATTTCCTTCAGCCTTTAGGATTATAGCGATAGCCTTAGCAATAAGTCTCACCACACACACACACTATCTAAACCGATTGACAAGGCACCGATAAGAGCGATAAGTGTATCGATAACCTTTACAAGTAACGCTGGCCGAAGGCAACCCTGCCTCCTTTTTGGGTCACCTTCCCCGGTAACTTGGCCCCGGATAGCCGTGGCTCCGGCTACCGGGCGAAGCCGGAAAGGACGCCATTTAAAGAGAGGGAGGCAGCGTACGCATTCCGCCATTTCCGCTTCCGCTGCGGGTAATTATGTTTTGGATTTCACAGAAACAAAACACACGAAACACACACTTGTGAAAAATAATAAACAGATGGGAGATGGCTGCCGCAGGTGGTGTCCAAGTGCAGGAATCGGCGATTGGGATTCCGGTTAGCGGGTTTCCGGCAAATACGCCCCAACCAGAGGTGCCCCCCAAAAATAGGAGAACCTGGATCCAAAATCGCAGCACAGTCACACCGCCTGCGGCATCTAATGGATTCTACAACTGCGGTCAAAAAGAATATATATACTTTATGCAGTGCTATATATCATTTGAAATTTATTAATTTATTTATTATTCATCAAAGTACTAAAACATTATATTGTGATATTAAAAAAAAACGGAAGTGAATAGATTCCTTTATTATCATTTTCTGTAAGACTTTTCCTCAGTTAAAAGTAAAATAAAACATGAAAGGAAACTAACTTCGGAAAGCTGAAATTTATATACCCTTGCAGTTTGTAATTGAATTATAGGATCAAATCGGAATGAATCAATATTTAACCATATTTTTGTATGGCATTTTGTTTGACAAATCAAAGTTTAAAAATCTCATAACTAAGCTAAAAAATCATTAATTTTAATTCGGAAAGTATTTCTTTGCTAGTTTTTGCAAGGCTAAAAAATCTGCATACCCAATTTAAAAATTAAAATTTTTGTCAATTTTTGAACATTTTAACCATGTAACCCCTTATCAAATTTAAAAAAAATTGTCAAAATTTTATTTCTTATGAAACATGCCTAGATCGATTCGACTGTGGATGCTGGTTAAGAATATATATGATTTATAGGGTCGGAAATGACTAATTCACTAAATTTTAAGCATCTGACTGAAATTAAAAGCCCCCCTGCAAGAGTATAATTATAACAGTGCGTATACGTAATTTTTCGAACTATGAATACCGGAAATGGAAAGTAAACGAAAAAAAGGAAGCTAACGTCGGCACACCATTGCTTATGTATATACTCTTACAGCTTGAAAAATAATTATAGAATTGGATCGAAAATAGAAAATAATTAAGCATCGCATTCTTTTAATCAATATTTTTATATGACAATTTTTTCGACAAATCAAAGTTTAAAAAACTCATAACTCCGTCAAAAAAGCATTAATTTTAATTCGGAAAGCTTTCCCATGTTATTTTTTAGTAGGTTAATAAATCTGCGTACTTAATTTTAAAATTTTAAAAATTCAATTTTTTTTAATTTTTTGTTGAGAATTTTAATGCTAAAAAATTTGAAAAAAATGGTCAAAAAAATTTTTCTCTTAAACATAACTAGATCGATTTGGCTTTTGATGCTGATCAAGAATATATATGATTTATAGGTGCGGAAATGCCTCCTTCAAATTTTATTACCATGCAAGGGTATAAAAAGGGTATAAAAAGGGTTTTCAGTATCACTTTAATATATTACACAAAAATAATACATACTACTTTTTGCTTTTATTTTATAAAAAATCCAATTTTATTTGGTTTTGTTATTACTTTTTATACAAAATTCCAAATTTTATGTGTATTTAAAATTATGAATAATTAAATAAATATGGCACTGTTTTATTTATAAAGCCAACCGCAGCTGAGAATCCATATGCATTAGAGCAGAGTCGAGTGTAAGGAATATTTAGCAAATGACAATCTAGACAATTAGCAAATTTGCTAACTTTAAAAAAAAAAATATATATATATATATATATAAGAAAACGAGATAAGAAATTATAACGAGGCGGTTCATTTTCGACAAATGCTGTTTTTTTTTCTACTAAGCACTAAGCTAATACTCAATTTTGAAATTGTAGTCGAAGGATTTTAATTGGATTTTCAGCAGAAAAGAGCGATAACTTTAAATCTAGACAAGATAAAGGTAAAGGATGAATGCTAAATGCTTAATGCTAATATAAAAAAATACCAATATTTAGAGAGTGCGGAATAAAACGGGCTAGCAGAGTGCTTGAGTTGGCACTTTCACAGCTGTTCGGAGAACGACCGGGTCCAAGCCAAACTAAGGATATATTTTCGTGCATTTTGTAGTTGAGTGTAGGAAAAAGAAGGTGGAGCAGGAGAAGGTGGAGTTGAGGGGAAGAAAGCCCGCACTTACACACACTAACACACTCACTTGCAACCAATAAGGACATACACTCACACACAGGATACACAGATAACACAAAGTGACGGCAATTACTGCATGATGTGTGTATATATAAAAAGGGACACATGCTACAGAAGCTATGTATTTGGACATACATAACATACATATATATATATATATATATATACATAGACATAGACATATATATATATATATAAATACATATATTTTTTTCGAATCGTTTAAGTGCAACTTTTGAACAAAATATGGAGAAAATGAAACGCAAGTCTTATGAAAATTCTAGCATGTAAGGCAAACGAAAACAAAAACCAATGAAAAATTGTAAAGGTCAAGATACAAGATACGAGATACAAGCGAGAACGGAAAAGCAAGAAGCAGATGCAAACAGATATACCTAATAACAATGCCTAACTGTATGAGTAACTATACTATATATAAATATATACTAAAAATATTGATAAAGCCCAATAAAGGATATCTATGTACAAGTTAGTTATTTATTTAAAGGCAGAACTGCCCAAGCAGAGCGCCCAAGTCCTCGGCTTATGAACGATCACAAAACCAAAGGGAAAGTATTTTCCCGCGAGAGAAAATCTGAGGCTTGAGGACAAAGCGCTTTGGCTTGGACCTGTCTCAGTCATATCCTTGTATATAAAACAATGTCCTCACCAAGTTTTTTCGCCGGATTCAGTGCTTACACACACACTCTTCTGAAGCTGCAACTTTGGTCAGACATCGAAGCGAAAGACATACAGATATTCCCCAGATACTCCATACATAGACACATATAATATATTTAATGATAAACTTATGCAAGTCTGAAAGTATTTCTATCGAAAAGTTCTAAACTGCTTAAATGTAAATTGTATATAAAAATATCTATGATATCCTTAAATGTGTAGCTATAGCTTCGTGCTTCGGAATCCTACATCCAGCCGGAATCCTATATCCACTAAGAAGCACTGTAAGATACAGCCCCCAGTCCCATTAACTATACATATACATATATATATTTATGGTATTTATGAATAATAAATCCTTGATTTTTTTTTGGTTTAGTCACTAAGCATAGACATAGCGGTTAAATGAAGCAACATGAATTACTAAGTACGATATGCACTGCAAGCACTGAGGAATTTGATTCAATTTTACTTAAGATTAACGCGAAGAGAAATTGAAATAGCATTTAGCAAACCCAAAAAAACAAAACGGAAATCTCCAATACCATCGAATTAATCGATATAAATTACGAAAACTATTAAATTTAAAAAAAAATTACATTTTTCGAGACACACTTCGGAAGACTCCAAAAAAATAAATAAGGAGAAGAAAACTGGATTCGCTTGAGGCAATTTGTGATGGGAAAGTCGAGAACGTAGAGCATCTGGATTGGCTATGCAGCATTCGTATATGCACACACTCCGCACACCTCTCACACACCACACACACACCTCACTCACACTCGCGAGTAATTAACCTTGTATAGTTGTACATTAGTCTGTAGCTCCATTTGCATTGATCTCTACAAAAAATAAATCCATAGATAAAAAAAATCACACTACTATTCTTTCTCAACAGACACAAAAATTGTAATTTTCGAAAGGGCCAAAAAATATTTATGCCTCCAGCTCGCCAGAGTTCTTTCTGTCCCCTTCAACTGCGAATCATTGTAATAAATATACACACATTTATAAATATAAATATTTAAGAAAGAGATCACACATCCTATGCTAGCTAATCCTAAATATTTGACAACCGATCATCATCCACGAAATTGCTTATAATGTA